TACAACGTCGTTGCCAAGCGACGAAAACCCAACCCCGATGGCAAACACCGGCGGGGGGGGCTGGGGCGTTGGGTGCGCGGCGAAAATATCTACTCTCCGCCCCTACCAAAAAAATACATGACATGAGCTAGGTAGGAGGTGGGAGCATGGCAGCAGCAGCAGCAGTAGGACGTTTCTTTGGAACGCTCCCCTAGCTTCTACCCCTTGCTTCTTTTGTCTTGGGGTATCGCACGATCATGTTTCTTATTGGGACGTTTCGTGTGTTATGCCCGAGATTGAGTTGTGTTTCTTAGACGTTATTTTTATATTCCGTAAATAGTTTGAGCCTTTTTGTCTTCACAATATTTTCTGAACTGGGGGCCCCATCTGTACAGTAGCACGAAAGCGCAAGGCGGATCGAGCTGTCAAGATGCGGCCCGAATCCAATACAGCCAGACCTGGTGCAGCATTTCTTGGGAACGTTCATCAGGAGGAAAATAGTGGCCCTACAGGAGGATCAAAATTTTCAGCTTTTGAAGGATCGAGAGGAGTGGAGCTGAGTACGCAGGAAACCATCAAATTCATGGTGCTTCAGGGTAGGTGCCAACCACCGAAGGCTGAATATGAGCTCCTTTCGGCTGAATTGGCGGGGTGGCAGGCGGGTGGCGCTCATGGGTGGGTGTTTCACGGCTGCTCTATCTGTGATGCCGCTCATTCAGAGTGACCGTTGATACGATGTTGACGAGATGCGACGGCGGTGTGGGAGTGTGGATGAGTGTGCTGGCGGAAAGTAATGGGTAGGTTAAGGCACGCGAAGGGAGTACAAAACCCCCGAATAGATAACCCTTCCGACGGATGGACGACAAGAAGCAGGGAGTTTGAGAAAACCGAAAATCCCCTTCAACTCGAGATCGCCCCGGGGTTTGGAGTCGCACTGGATTGACGAGGTGCCCTTCTTCCATAGGCGACGTGTGAAAGGTCCCCACGGCCTGGGTAGCTGCAGCCCCGTTATCGAGGGCAGCAAACGAGTTTTCTCCGCCATCGACTTGTACCCCTTTCGAGCGTGTAGCGTCACGAACGGACGAACTCGTGAAATGTAGCGAATTGCCAACTCGGTATGACTGGGCACCACAGGCTTCCTGCTGACAGTAGTGGACTTGCCCTGCATGGATCAAACATGTACCTTACGCACCCTTTCCAACATCACCCTCCCTTGTTCTTCTTTGCCAAAAAGAGGACCCACACGACGAGAGAGCGTGGCTCGACAGCTGTCACAGCCAACGACGTCCGCCACGAGTCACACTTCGTAAGGAGACGGGCCACACGATTTCGGTGATGGGTTGTTTGAAGTAATCCCCGAAGGATAGCTGCTGCAGGGAGGCCGGTCACACGACTTCGGTGATGGGTTGGTTGAAGTGACGCCCAAACGATAGCTGCTTTCAAATAGGCCGGCCACACGACTTCGGCGATGGGCTGGTTGAAGTAATCCCCAAACGATAGCTGCTGCAGGGAGGCCGGCCACACGACTCCGGCGATAAACTGAATGAACTTCCAGTGAAACGATAACTGCTGCAGGGAGGCCGGCCACACGACCCCGACAATGGATTGGTTAAAGTGAGAACCGAGCGATAGCTGCTGCAGGGAGGCCGGCCAGACAACTCCGGCAATGCTCCGGTTGAATCCAGAACCAAATGAGAGCTGCTGCAGGGGGAGCGGCCACACGACTTCGGCGATGGGCTGGTCGAATGCCCAACCAAAAGATAGCCGCTGCAGAGAGACTGGCCACAGGACTTCGGCGACGGGCTGGTTGAGCATCCAATCAGTTGATAGCAGCTGCAGGGAGGCCGGCCACACGACTTCGGCGATGCTCTGGTTGAATGAATCCCCAAACGATAGCTGCTGCAGGGAGGCCGGCCATACGACTCCGGCGATGGGCTGCTTATACATAGTCTAACAAAAACAAGCAGGATGGTGGTGAAAGTATACTCCTAAACGAACTCGAGTACAAGGTAATAGCCGTGGTAGGCGCGTGCAGTTTTCTTCTGTTGCTTCCGTTTCTGTCTTTGATCCGAAGGATAGTTTAGCCTCCCCCATGCTGCCCCCTTACGGGGTCCCATCCAAGTTTATGGCAGATAGAAATGTTTTGTGTTTGCACCCGCACTAGGACTGACGTCTTTTCATTGGTCAGCCGGTTAGTGCGGTCGATGCTAATGATAAAACCACACACGGAAACAAGCACACCAGTTGCCGTAGCCCCTCATATAATCTACGAAAGTACAGTAGTATCGCCAAAGCTCGAAATGAGCCAAGCAACTCAGCTGACAAACCAATTATTTTGGAACATGTTATTGGTTATTGACGAGGCTTCACAGGTGTTGCCAACCATCTACTACTGAACCACCTACCTTGCAAACTTGCCCTTGTCGCTTCTAGCACTGCACAACAGGGCACACCACCTCGCAAATCTACTCGTAGCCTTGGTCTCGTAGGATTACGTTAGACTTGATCAATCTGCCCCGCTTACTCATGCAAACCCCACTTCCGAGTTCTTGCGCGGTGTCTCGCCACGTTTTCTGCGAGCCAGTCGCTTCTTGGATTTGCCGAATATGTGCTTGCTCGTGCGACATCGCCATCCATGTTGCTCTGATCAGTAGGCCACACGGGCGACTGGAGGGCTAGCAGCTATTGTACTCCTCAATTCTCATGGGGGTGTGCATGAGAAGACAGCGAAGACGACCCTGTAGTATGCGAGGTGTCTACCATCTCTCGGCGATCTCTACAACTCCACAGCGCCACGCCAGCGGTGATGCACGCCGTGGCAGGGAGAGCGGGACGCCAACGCGGCGACGCATTGGCGGAAAACCCGGGGATACATAGCGACCCTCCCCCCAAACGACTCCGATTGTTGATTAGTAGTGTCATGTGTCATGACCAGCTTTTCACGTGACTCCTGGCGGAGGAACGCCTTGGCCACACAAGACCTGTCGGTGCGGGATCAGTCGTTGACGTCCCGGGAGGCGACCCACCCACGTCGCCATGCCGACGTCGCTCTGTTGCGGGCAGTTCCTGTCACTCAAGAAATGCGAGTTTTGGCCATTCATGGCCTTTCAATACTTCCATAACATCTGCGAATAGGACAAAATGACGTTCCGGATTCCCCAGCAAAAGCTGGACAAGGTACGTGCCATACTACGAACTGCTCTCGCCGATGGATGCGTGTCATCAATTGATACGAACTGACAGAGTCGTGAAATCTAGGGCATCGCCAACTCGACCTGATTGGGCATCATAGGCTTCCCACTTCAATTGGTACGAACTGACAGAATCGTGAAATCTAGGGCATCGCCAACTCGACCTGATTGGGCATCATAGGCTTCCCACTTCAATTGGTACGAACTGACAGAATCGTGAAATCTAGGGCATCGCCAACTCGACCTGATTGGGCATCATAGGCTTCCCACTTCAATTGGTACGAACTGACAGAATCGTGAAATCTAGGGCATCGCCAACTCGACCTGATTGGGCATCATAGGCTTCCCACTGGCAGTAGTGGGCTTGCCTTGCATGGATCAAACATGTACCTTATGTACTAATCTTTCCAACCGCACCCTCTCTTGTTTTTCCTTGCCGAAAGCAGGACCCAAACGACGCGAGAAAGTGACTCGACTACAGTCACAGCAGACTACGTCCGCCACAAGTCACACTTCGTAAGGAGACTGGCCAATCGACGTCGGCGATGGGCTGGTTGAAGCAATCCCCAAACGACAGCTGGTGCAAGGAGACCGGCAACACGACCCCGACAACGGACTAGTTGAAGCCATCCCCAAACGATAGCTTCTGCAAGGAGACCGGCCACTTTACTCCGACGATGGGTTGGTTGAACGGAATCCCAAACGACGGGTGCTGCAGGGAGGCCGGCCACACGACTTCGGTGATGGGCTGGTTGAAGTCCACCGATAGATGTTGCAAGGAGGCCAGCCCCGCGACTTCGGCGATGGGCTGGTTGAAGTTCTTCCCAAACGATAGCTGCTGCAGGGAGATCGGCCCGAAGAGTTCGGCGATGCTCTGGTGTTTGAATTGATACCCGAACGTCAGCTGCTGCAGGGAGGCCGGCCACACGACTCCGACAATGGGCTGGTTGAAATGTCCAAACGTTAGCTACTGAAGGGAGACCGGCCACTCGGCGTCGGCGATTGGCTGGTCGAAGTCTTTCCCAAACGATACCTGCAGGAAGGAGATCGGCCACTCGACGTCGGCGATGGGCTGGTTGAAGCAACGCCCAAACGATAGCTGCAGCAGGGAGACCGGCCACTCGACGTCGACGATGGGCTGGTTGAACCAATCCCCAAACGAAAGCTGCTCCAGGGCGACCGGCCACACGACTTTGGCGATGCTCTGGTTGAATTGATACCCGAACGTCAGCTGCTGAAGGGAGACCGGCCACTCGACGTCGGCGATTGGCTGGTTGAATAAACAACCAAACGATAGCTGCAGCAGAGAGACCGGCCACATGACGTCGGCGATGGGCTAGTTGAAGTATTACCCAAACGATAGCTGGTGCAAGGAGACTGGCCACACGACCCCGACAATGGGCTGGCTGAAGACATCCCCAAACGATAGCTGCAGCAGGGAGACCGGCCACTTGACGTCGACGATGGGCTGGTAGACGTCTTCCCCAAATGATAGCTGCAGCAGGGAGACCGGCCACTCGATCCCGGCGATGGGCTGGTTGAAGTATTCCCCAAACGATAGCTGCTGCAGGGAGGTCGGCCACACGACTTCGGTAATGGGCTGGTCGAAATTTAACCCAAACGATAGCTGCTGCAGGGAGGCGGGCCACTCGACCGCTGCAATGGGCTGGTTGAAGCCATCCCCAAACAGTAGCTGCTGCAGGGAGGCCGGCCACTCGACCGCTGCAATGGGGTGGTTGAAGCCATCCCCAAACGATAGCTGCTCCAGGGCGACCGGCCACGACGCCGTGTTCACGGCCAGGTTCAAATCAATCGTAAGCCGTTTGTTTGAGCCTTTGATGCAAAAGCGCTGATCCTAGCCGTTCTGCAGACGAACATCCCAATACCCACGTCATACCAAAAGCTTGTACAGCGGGTACGCGACTCGGGGTGGGAGACCACAAGCTAGGATGAGTGTGTCTTTCGACCCGCATGTGCAAGGTCTGGACACTTTTGCACGCCACACAAAAAGCCAGGGACACACGCTGAAGCTCCAGCGTAGACTCATACCAACGTGTTGCTTATCCATCGCAAGCCGGGTTCAAGGTGGCCATCAAGACGTCCAGGTTCTCGACTCTTCCTGAGATTGAAGAGGGTGGCACAAAACATACACGTAGAAACGTAAACGAAACGTTTTGCGGGTCTTGGGAAATTTCTAGCTGCGCGACTAGTCAAGTCGGAAAGTCGCAGATAGGGAAGCAGGAAGGAGAGGGGGGAGATGCCCCGAGTCGATAGTAACACGATCACAATCTCCAGACAACTGACAACATCAGGCCGCGGGAATCAAACAAACACAGCGGTGCCCCGCGATTGACCAACCTGTTATTGGCTGTTCATGGCCGACAACCCTCCTTCGAACACTAGTTGGGACGGGCAAAACGTATCATTCGGCAGGCCGCCGAAAGATTCATGAGAAACGGCCATCTTGGTTCTCCGGTTACCAAATTTTATGAAGTGGGTCTTTTTCACGCGACATGAGCTACATAATCGATTTGAATGGCACTCTTGACACAAAGTCGACACAGCCAATTAGGCTCTTTGCATCCGTCCTCGGCGATGTTGGGTCGACAGATCCACTTCCGAAACTTGGCCATCAACCCCACCACTTGTACCGTCGAGCACATTTTGTGTCTCAAACATTGAAGAGTTGTTGTAGACCCCAAGTGGTGTTCAAACCCTGTTCAAAAAGGCAACTCAGTCAGTACCTATTCGTAAAACATTGTGACATGAGTTTAGCTGATTGGGCGACGCCCACTTGCCGTGTCACAAGGGCCGGGGTTTACCCTGCTGCGGCTACGTTTCTCTGCAAATGTACCCAAATGCTCAGAAATTGACCCTGCCTTACCGAGAAATGGGACCCTTCCATCGGCGAAGCCAAGCGACACCTTCAACACGAATCTTCCTGCTTCATAACATGATGGCAACCGACATCCGAGACACGCTTCATGGTTTAACGCAGCACGGTTGACACGCCCGACTGAACCAGAACACGCACCGAGCATTCCAAAAACTAATGGGCGGATTTGTGGTGACACAGATAGGGGGTCAAGAGACACACACACACCAAGCGAATAATCATGCATGGAGATAGGTGAAGGACACATTTCTCACACTCACCCATCCCGCCCGCACATCATATCGCATGCCGCACTGGCGATATTTCACTCAAACTGCAAACACCTATCGATCATCAGCGAGTAGATTGTAGCTTGGAGGCCTCCGCTCCAGCAGCATGCCGTTTGGGTTGCATTTGACCAGTGTTCACTGCCATGGACGTAGCAGTCTTGGACAAGTTGTCTATGTAATAGTCGGCCGTCGGGTACTGGCAAAGCATGGACTACCCTAGGTGAATCGGAAAAACATGGCGGTAGAACTTCGGGCAGCGTGGGAAGGCGACTCCGTATTGTACGCCGCATTAACTTGCAACATATGGTGCGCATTGCAGCTGCCGGGCGGGTTGGCGCCGCAATGTGTGTGAGTGTGGGGGGGTGTGAAGGAGCTGGGGGAGCAACTAACCGCACAACAGGTGACGGTCCAAAATTGATAGGTCCTCTGTAGTGGAGTAAAACCTGGTGGAACCCGTCACTGTATACACAGGAAACCCTGCTATTGCAGGTCGAGGCCATGACAACCGACTTCGGCCCTCTCATACGTTGCCCCCTCTTACTCGCTACGCTCTAATACCGGAACCACGACATTAGGTTTATTGACCATGCAACCCCCCTTGTTTTCATTGCAGCATCAACCAACGCCACCACTCTCACCTTCGTTATTCATGGCATCAACTGCCTTTCACCGCTAGTAGTGTGGACGTGGCTGGGAGGGTCGAAGAGTGCGTTCCAGTAGGCGGCGGAGCCCCTTTCAAGGTTGGTGGGTCTGCCTGATCGTCTTCCCGACTACCAATGGGCAGCGGCAGGCCGGCCAAAACGTGGTATAGGTGCAAACGCGTTGAATTTGACGGATGTCGCGATTGTAAACCTGCTTCAGGATGTACGTGGTGCAATACAAGAGGTCCCGTAGAGATTTAGTTAACTCGTTTCCCAATCGCAAGGTAGGTCCGAATTCGCCATGAACGTGCAGACCACCGCATGCTGTAGAAGTATCATCTCTATCCGCAGGCAAAAGTCCAGGAGAAATTAGGGATGAACAAATAGCGCTTATATGACCTACCTGTGATTCTACTGATGTCCGAGCAGCGTAGGGTGTTCTATCTCTCCTGTGGGTATCACGCTCAACCTCAATTTGGTGGCCATCTTGTGTATCGGGCAACACATGCTGAGATGTGTAGTCTTGGTTTCATCCATGTTGAATGACAGCGTCAAGAGAGGTAAATACTGCTGTATGTATTGTATTCTTACCTGCTGTATGCATACGCATAGAGACTTGATGATCCAGTTATATATTACTAGCGATGATTGGAGCAGCGTGTAAAATGCAGAAGAGAGAGGACGTGCTGAACTGAGATCCATCTGCGCTTCTCGTCCCGTAAAATCCCAACGAAATACATCGACCACGGAGAGAGACGAAAAAAAACATGCTGTTCAGCAGTTTCGGACTAGGGCTCCAAATTTTCCGGTTTAGGGAAGCAGATTTTGAGATAAGAAAGTTTCCTGGAAACTTCGTGCAGGTGGATTTTTCAGATTTAAGCGGCTTGATGTGATTGGCTGTGGGTCAACAGTCCTCCTACGAACTTCCGCTGTCCGCAGGTGCTGTTGTTTCTCCGTGGTGCGCTACATGACAGCTAGCTGTGCACCTTGCTTGATGACAAGGGGCTCTAGCTGCTGCTGCTGTTGAGTGTGCGTGCGTGCGTGCGTGCGTGCGCGTGTCCGTGTCTGCGTCGCTCCCTCAACCCCAGCACACGAAATCGCACCACACCAGTACGGAGACAGGAAATGATTACTGTACACTGGCCGACGACAGCGTCTGAACGAAGTGCTCTTCGCGTTTCAAGCGTTCGGGAGAGAGACGGGGGGTTTGGGACCGGGAGGCACATCCGAGTCAAACCTTCTTTCTAGTAGACACCAGAGAAAAAGCGCGCGGAAGGACGCGCCCGCCTTCACCAGGAGGCCACTACGTGCTCTTCCTCCTCTCTGCTCTTCTTCTTTGCCGGCGGCGTTGCCACCACCTCTACGTTCGTGCGCTCTTCCTCCCCCTTGCCTCAATCTGACGGGCGTGTTGCTGCCCTCACGCCAGCCGGAAACAAACCCAACTTTCTGACCGTGCAGCCTCCCTGTTTTTATGTTGGTGGCGCGCCAACTCCAAGGCCTTTCGCTGGGCGCTGGCCTTCTCTTTGGCCGCGCTGACATGTTCTCAGCAGACTGCTGTGTGTGCGTGCGGTGGTGCGTGTGATGTGTTACTTCGAAGGAAGTTGCTAAATCGAAAAATCGTGTAAAAAGTTCCATAAACCAAGCCTCCCTCGGCTCTTAAATCTGTAATTTCTTTCCTTGTTGTGGGTTCTGGCGAGACTGTCAGGAGCGATCCTCAGAACGACGGCTTAACTCAAAAAATGTTTCCTTATTCCGGGGAAAAATTGAGTCCAAAACTGACAATTGTAGACTACAGATAAATAGTTACTCGAGCAAAGAGTACAGTCAACTGGAGACTAACCGACACGCACCAAAAAAGAGGAATGTGCAACACACTGGTATCCCGCCCACTGGGATCACGCTACCACCTTGGCGTATAGGTAGACGGGTTTATTGAAAGTGAGCATGTGGGCCTGTGGGCGGCATCGTCGTATGAGCGTGGGAAGCCGCAATGTTTCGTCGAGCGGTCTTATTGGAATTTCTCCCACGCGTCATCCACGCTGTAACTCATCATTGCGTCTGTCGATTTTGACTCTTGGAGAATCGTCTTTGCCAGGGGGGCATGCCGAAAGATACACCGTCAAATACGACAAGCACATAAATCAGAGGAGGAAAAGCGACAGCAATCGTGTGAAGCGGTACAACTGTTATTGTTTGACGATAGACGAGGGGCGGGCGGTTTGCGGTGGAACTACGATCGCTTTGCGAGAACCAATGATGCGGCACAATAACAGGTGGTTTGATGGTTTGATTGTTGAATGTTGGCAACAGACGATGACATGCAACCCGCAACAGGAGGTGGCACCCCATCCCTGAAACTATCTTGTAGCGAGACGTGTGCTGGTAGTGTGTGCATCGTGCGAAAGATCGTACGTCTACGACATAAGGGCAAGCAGGGATGATACAGAAATATACCAGGGCATTCAAAACAATTTTGGACATAAATTCAACAAGTTTTTAGAGTCTTGACGGACGTGCCCCACCGCCATCACGCCAATAAGCGCGACGGAAGCACGCACTATATAGTGTACGGGCGATGGTCTCACCAACGTGAATTATCATCCGCGAAAAAGCCGTATTAAATAATTAGGGCGAAAACCTTCCAAACAAAGTAAAAAAAAAATTGGGCCAAAAAGAAGAGAGACTTGTAGTTGTGAGAAGGAGGCAAGGTTGTTCCCAACAATGGGTGGCTGTGCCGTCCGAGGGCTTCGTTACCACAAACGAGCATAGCAGATCATGCTGGTAAAGTTCTTTGCTGTGCGGTTTGGATGCGTAGCTACATATGCTTAGCCCCAGCTACCAGGGCCCTCAATGAATTTCAATACCGAGAATTTGAGTGCATTTGGGAAGATTGTTTAAACGGACCAATTTGAAAGTCACCCCGCAACTGACGTCACGTGGCATTTCTATTTGTCAGGAATTTCACGTGTAAATTTGAGAACATTGATTGCATTTGGGAAGACTGTTTGAACTGACCAATACGAAGTCACCCCGCTACTGACGTCAGGTTGCGTTTCCATTTTTTGGGGGGGGATCTCCGCATCTCGCAGGATGAAGTTTACTTGATTGTGCATGGTGGCGACCATGAATAGCATACGTAGGACCTGCCGTGGAAGAAGCTGCATAGATAGCTGCATGTGCATACAGCATGAGTGATTGTTAATTGCATGCGGCAGCACATCATGATTGATTGAGCTTGTTTCTAGGCAAGCAAGTACTACATTTGAGAAATGACGAATGCAACGCATGAAAAAGAGCGTCAGAGACGCTCACGCAGCACCGGATTTTTGGATATGTTGGCGAGTGCATGGAGCATGGCAAAGGTATGGTGCACAGCAGAGCTGCCGCAGAGGAGGTGTACGTGAGTCATGGTAGATTTGCTAGTTTTCATGTAGGTCGTGATCCGAGATGAGAGATGGCGAATATGTCACCTGAAGAACGCCGACAAATCTCCACCAAAACCAAAAAACAAAATGATACGAAAACCTATTAATTTTTCTGTCAGTAGGCAGACAAAATTTCAGCAGGCGAATTGAGCTATGTAGCTCATGATCTGTCCTGTTGTATGTGTGGAAATTCGAATGTGTTTCGGTGTGTGTGGAGTCCAGTAAACGTACATGCTCACGAATATATGGATGCTGTATGTTGTACTTTTGGTGCGTTGTGTGGAGGTGCATCAATGTGACCGCTAATAACAAGGAATCCAATAAGTTGCCTCAATTTGATTTTTACCTACGAATTTGAACCGATTTCGCCACACATCACGCCTCGAGTTATTAGAACGATTTCAGCCAGGTTATGCAGCGTCGATTCACGTATAGGCTTAGAGTATCAACCTAGACGCCATGACAGCAATTGAGAATTTAGTACAGCAGGAACACTACCTTGTAGAGCAATAGCGTAATTGTTTGCGCTGTGGAGCTGATCATTCACGATGTGCATGTGATGCATTCATCAACACACGCCCGAACAGAAGCAAAGTTTGGCCGGCGCATCAGACAGAAAGGCCAGTACGCAACAACAGCAGAAGCAACATACGTAGCTCGAGCGCCCTCCAAGACGCCATAACTGCTGTACAGCAGCGACAGAAGAGTCGGCAGTGGCGCACAAAAGCTTGTAGGGCAATAAATAGCTGACTTGTATGGAGCCGATGTATGATGTTGGTGACGCGTATTCGGTGTTTGACATATTCGGAACGTTTCGCGCTGTTCTTGATCGGCCGTATCATAAAGTCTCAAACACAGCAACATCAACACGCCCCGCCACCATCACCGCGAACAGATCGGCGAGGCCCACACGACCTGGCTAGAATGTGTGCATCGCTGCGAGCTGTTGGCTCACCCTGCGTTGGTAATGATAGGCATTCTCTGATGTCTGCGCAATCTTCTTCTCCCACAGAGCAGCAAAAAAAGGAGCAGCACATGTCAGCAGAAACAGCAGCAAAGCAGTGATGGAGTAGTAGCGAACCCACATGCGCCCCTCGCTGCACTACTGTGGATAGCCAGCCAAGTGTGATTCCCTACTCGTAGCAGCATCCGTCCGTGTACCGACACGTGTTGTGTTTGTGCGCCCAAGATGTATGATGTATGCATGTGCCCGCCACCCCGCTCCCCTTCCTCGTTTTGCTGTGTGTTTTTCCGTGCACGGTTCGTTGCCGAGCTCGATCAACTCGGAAAGCAGCCAGCGGTGGTGGGTTGAAATTGCGGCCCACCGCGGTGTTGGTCGTAATTGATTTGAGATCCGGCAGCCCTTCCATGCTACTTGTATTTCTTTGGCTCTGCGGCTGTGTCGACCGCTTGTCGATATTGGATCTTTCGTCGGAATGTCTGCTGGAAATATTGATATTCTTGCGTCGAAATCAATTTATCTCTGTTTCGACGAAGATTTTTTTTTTTTTACAACGGCGGAGTTTCTTGCTGACGTTAGGTTCAAAAATCAAAACGCCCGTGGTGGGACGGTTTACATTTTAAAAGCCACCGCTTAGTGGGGCCGAATTCTAGGCGAGACGTGAGGCCGGACAACTTTGATTGCGGTATCACGTGGGTGCGGACCCAGGCCGCCTTGCATGACGGCATTGAAATTGGAAAAGGGTAGGATAGGACGTCGTGATGTTCACGGGCTCTGCTGCCTGATGACAATCTGCTCACCACTATCAAAAAACACAGACAGTAGTCGGCCTCTCCCTACAACCGCTTCTACCGCAGTACTCAGTACTACATTCCACAACCGCCGTCCACGGTGGAGTTAAAAGGTGGTGATATCGCCTTATCACCGATGGTCGAGCTGGTTGCAACTATTAGTTGAGGATCACCTCCGGAGTCTGTCTGCGCATAGGTGAGCTTGCTTTTTGCAAAAGAGGTGGGCAAGGAGGACATCACTCCTCCTGAGGAAGAACCAACGGGCGACCTGAGGGCGAGTCGGTCAAACCTACCTGTGCTGCTCCATTTGTTCGAGGATTCTTCGCCGATAGACAAGCGGTATCTACCTTGCTCGTGCGTGTCGCTACGGTTTTGACCAGTTCAAAGCTCCAAGTTCTTGCGATGGGTCTCTCGCGACGTACTGTGGCTACGTTCGTTCCCTGCTGCTGTGCCTGCTGCTGTGCCTGCTGCTCCTGTTGTTTTGGAGAGTCGGTCTTTTGCTTGTGTCTGGAAGGCCCAACAAAACGATCTACAAATAAGTCAGCTATTGCCCTGCAACCTCTTGTGCGCCACTGCTGTACTCTTATATCGCTGCTGTACAGCAGTCATGGCGTCTCGGGGGGTGCTCGAGCTCCTGTTGGTGTGTACTGATCTTTGTCTACAGGTACGGCGACGGCCAAACTTTTTTGGCTTGGCGTGTGTTGTGCCACATCACATAGTCTAGACTACACGTCATCATCAGCTCCACATATATAACAAGCAAGCTATTGCTCTATGATACAAGCTGGTGCACTGCTGCTGTACTACTCTAATGCTGCTGTACAACAATCACAGCAGTTATGGCGTCTTGGTTGATGCTCGACGCCATACTTGAACCGACGCTGAAGGACCCGGCTGAAATTGCGTGCGTTTTTGTAAGGCGAAACCGGTCCAAACTCCGTAGGTAAAACTGCATGTGGAAACTTTGGAATTCTTTGCTGGTGCATACAGGGCGTGTGCCTTATATCATGTGTATGTGCT